TTTTAAAAATGAGCGTGTCGGGTTTGATGATCTATTCAGAATTAAAAAAACAAAATATACCATCTTGTAAAGCAAGTCGAGGTGTGTTGAATGGTATAGAACAAATCTTGTTTTCATAAGATTTTGAAGGACCCAGACTGAATTTACTGATAGGCTACCATTGAGTGAAAGCACTGACCATGGTGAGCTTTGGCATCAGTTGAAAATGTTTGTAAAAATAATTTCATATACTCAGCATCTCTGATCGTACTATCTTTGGTAGGAAAAAATCTGATCTTTCGATGATCCACCATCGTGTTTCACGGGTAGTGGCTGTTGGTGAGTCTTTGAATCCATAGGTGTCTACCAGTAAATCCACTCTGGTTCCCTCATAATCTTATGAAAAAAAAAGATTTGTTATATACTATTCGACCCGTCTCGACTTGCTCTACAACGTAGTATGTTTGGTTTTTAATTTTGGATAGCTTACCAAACCCGACACGCTCATTTTTAAAATTCTCCGAACTTTTTGATCCCCTAGTAAATGCAATCATTATCAGCATATTAAAAAAGAGAGAAACAGAATCTGATATGGCGTAGGGAGCGCTGGGTCTACAATTTAATTTATTATTGGATCTGAGTCCAAAAAAACGTGGACCCGCAGTTCTCTAGATGCAACTTCCACAAACTGATAATGATCAAAACTTAGCATAAACTCTTAAAGTTATACTTTTTCAGATGGATTTTCATCTTACGCTTAGTTTTTGTCGAAAAATAGCAGCAACTATCTTTGCTACATACCGCTTATTGTCAAACTTTCGAAACATTCTTTAATTATCTTTTATCTCAAAAATCTATGCTATAATATGTAAAATAAATAAACATAATTTTAGGTTATTGATGAGAATGATTGTATTCCGGAAATGTTTATTTTTACACCTACTGATGTTCAATTAATTAATAATTCATCGATCTATATCATGGAAAATATTAATATTCATACAGCTATTCTTTATTTAACTGTATCAGATTGTGATACAGGTGAAAATGGATATGTAACTATTGAATTAATATCTTTAATTTCAATTGTTGAATTAGAAAAAGTAAATAATAATACATATATTCTTATAACAAATATAAATTTTGATCGTGAATTAATATCTTCTTATTCATTTTCATTAAAAATTTATGATCATGGAAAACCAAATAATTCAATAATAAATATATTTAATTTATATTTAATTGATATAAATGATTGTTTTCCATATTTTAATAATTCAATAAATTATTCATTTATTATTGATGAAAATAATCAAGAAAATTTAATTATTCATACATTTCAAATATATGATCATGATGAAAATGATCAAATAATTCTTTATTTTGAATTTACAAATGAAGAAGAAAAAGAAATTTTTTATATAAATAAACAAAATCAATTAATTATTAAAAAAAGTCTTGATTATGAATATAAATCATTTTATAATTTAACTCTTATTGCACAAGATTTAATTGAACATCGAACAAAAATTTTAATAAATATTTATCTTAATGATTTAAATGATAATCCAGTTAAATTTAATAAAAATTTTATTCAAATACAAATTCAAGAAAATCAATTAAATAAAATATTTCTAAGACAAATTCAAGCTGAAGATAAAGATAAAAATGATCAAATTATTTATTATATTCATTCAAATGATATAAATTATGTTGAAAATTTAATTGAATTAACAACAAATGGAAATTTATATACGAAAATAAAATTTAAACAAAAACAAATAAATAAATTTCAATTTCGAATAATTGCTAATGATTCTTTACATATTGATATTATTTTAATTGAAATTTTAATTAATAATAATATTTTATTAAAACCACAATCTCCATATTGTATTAATTTATATCATAATAAATATATTCAAATTGAATTTCAAGCATATAGAAATGTATCATTTTATTTAAGAAATTCATCATCATCATCAAATCTTATTCTTTTTCCTAATGGAACTTTAATTATTAAATCAATTTTAAATAAATATTCATTTGATATTTATTTAGAAGAAAATAATTTTTCTGCTATCTTTACAAATTTTATTATTTTAATTCAATTTCAATGTAAAAATGATTATTTTATTCAATTTAATCAACAAATTATTTTTATTTCTTTAATAAGTTTTATTATTCTAATTTTAATTTTAATTTTTTTTTATTTTCAATATAAAATACAAAAAAAATTATTCAAGAAAAAACTAAATATTAAACGATCATTTTCATTATCATTAAATGATATATTTCTTTTTTCATATCCATCATCACAATTAACACCAATGACAATAACATCATCTTCAACACATCAACAAACGAATAATTCTTCAACATTATCAACTTCATCATTATCAACTTATATTAAATTAAGTCATTCATTGAAAGATGAAACTGTTTGATTGTTTTTTGCATTATAATAATAAATTGTAAATATTCGTGATTATTGTCTTTCTTCTGAGATTTTTAATAGTGTGGGCAAATTTTTGAGATTTGTTGGAAATTTGAAAAGTTCAATGTATTTTAGTGTTAATAACACTTTGATGTTCTCGTTATAAAACCTGAAGATCCATATTAGACCTATGATAGTTTAAAACTATGAACTGTTACAGATCTAATTCAGGTGATCTAAGCGTAGTATATGTTACAGAGATGTCCATCGCGGCTGAAAATCTGCCGCTGCCGCGCCGCGACGGTTTATAAAAAAATGTTGCCGCGCCGCTGTCGCGCCGCGATGGCTTATAAAAAAAACGTTGCCGCGCCGCTGCCGCGATGAATTATAAAATAAACGTGCCGCCGCCACGCCGCTACTGCGGCGGTTTACAAAAAAGTGTTTCTAATTTCACTGCTGCGACTATATTTGACCAGAGATATTGATACTAGTCCATCACATTCATTCAGTCTCGGGGTGTTTCATTTGTAAACCCTGAAATTCTATTAAATTCATGCAGTTTTTCAATGTTCCCCCAAAAAATCCTGCCGCTGCCGCGGTGGACATCTCTGATATGTTATCCTTTGTCTAAAGACTTTCCGTTCGAAAGTTTAGAACCCGACGGGCTCGAACTGATATTACTGTGAAATATCGAGAAATTAAGATGGTATTCAAGTTTCTCTCGAATTTTTCACATTATATAATCATAAATAGTATGTATTGATAAGAATAAAAATTATTTTGCAGGTGTGGTAATTTGTGACGCGAGGTACTCGTTGCGACACATTCTGCAAACTTGATTTGAATTTTTTTCTTTGACATGTCTCGTAGTTTTTTTTCTGGCAAATTGAATAATTACAATTTTTGTATTTTCACTTGATTTATTAGCAATTATTCTTGATGTACAAGATACTAAGATCCTAATCTTGATATTCTCTGATTTGCGAACATACAGTCGAAAATTCAAGGTTTACTAAATTAAATTTTACTTGATTTTTTTAATTAATTTGAATTTTTCAGATTAAAATCGATTGAAAGTATCAAAATTTTGATTTTTAATTCTTTAAAACTCATTTCTTGAAAAAACCTCCGAAAATTAAAATCATTTACTTTTATTATTTAATATTTTTTACTGAAACAAATTTTAACAGTCGTTTTATTTGATGGATTAAAATTTGTAGAGTTCGCTCTTGTTTTCTATGAAATATCTATGTTTTCGTTTAGGAAGATGTTGTTCGCTTGATATAAGCTTGCAGAGTTTCAATGTATTCAGTTCTTATTAGGAGAGAAACATTTCAAAATCTCTCTTCGATCTTCATCAAAACTTTCTTTTCTTTTCGAAATCGAAAAGCTAGCGAAGTCTAGATCTAAAATTTACTATATACTTTTGAATTGAAATCATAAAATTTGTAATTTCACTACTTCGGATCAATAAGTAGTACAATCAGATTCAATTGCGTTTAATAATATAAACTTTCAAAATCTAGATTTTTATTTTGCCTGATACAGATATTTAGAAAGAGCATGATTTTTTTCTTTCCAATTGACTACCTTTGATTCTTTTTTGCAAACTATAAGCAGTCGAAAATCGAAACAAAACTTTTGTACAAAGACTTTTTACACAGAGGTTAGTACATTTTCCATTAAAGTCAATAGTTATCGACCAATTAGCTAATGTTGTTTGACCATAGATTTGGAATTTAAGAAATTTAATATCAGAATAATCAGTATATTCAAATATAGGAATACGAAAATATTATTGTCCAAAATCATAACCTAGTTCAATATCAAAACGTAGTGAGATATGGGATCTAGTCTTATCTCTAGAATAACTCAATGATCTTTCTTGCATCAGAATTCGCACCTTTGAAAAAACTATTTTCATATATACCAAGAGAAGAATTGCTCATAATTGAACGACAAGAGGGTGTGGGTATGGCTATGATTGAAGCGTCACCGACACCGACACCCACACTCCACATCCTTCATACCAATAGGAATAGAATGATAACCCTCATTGATTTCAATTTGAAGAATCTCGATCAAACGAGAATGAAACTTTTTTTCTTATCGAATATGTAAGATAAATGATACTGACTGACTCTTCTATAATCATTGTTTTCTTCAGGAAAGATTCATTCAAGTAAAGATTAAAGAATTATTTCCTAAACTTCGTTAAAAACAAATTCAATACAAAAAAATTCTTGAGCTTTTACAATTTGGTAGATTTTTCACATATCACGGATCAATGGGAAATTCGAGATGGTTTCACGTGGATGTTTACTTTTTTTTCTAACAATTTCACGTATGAATCCAACATTATAGCTCTTGACAATAGATAAAGAAGAACTAGATCTACTCGAAAAATTGCAACATGTTTTTTTTTATAATCCGGACGATCTCAACATAATTGAAGAATTTTATAAAAATTATAAACAGAAAAGCGCTATCAATCATATTACTATCAAAATAAAGTACTGTGTCAAAGAAATTGGAAGGTAATAATACCTTTTCGTTTTTTTTTATTGTGAATCTATTTAAACAGATGAAATCGAATTATGACGATCAAGATCTACATTCTTCTTCAATCACTGTCTATGGTAGTCAATTTATTTTAAGCAGTGAATTAGAACGAATATTGAATTCTCAGACAAGGCTGGTCTCAATTAATATATGCTGGTCAACCAATGGTGATCGACCTATAGCAGAAAATTTTATTCAAAGCAAACCTACTGGCATGCCGAAATCTTTGAATGCCGTTTTTTTCGAAGTTACTATCGAATCGTCTGCAGAAAATTTAATTCCATGTAATCAAAAAGTTTTGAAAATTGGAAATCTCTACTATTATCAAAATGGAAATGAACTATTATTTGCACCAGAAACAACACTTGAAACAACCGACTATAGTGCATCTATTGATTCGACTAACAATAAAAAATGGAATATTGTCATGAAACACACTCATGAAATTAAACTAATGATTGAAATTGGTGATATTTGGTACTATTGGAAAGAAAATATGTTTTTGGAAACAAGTGAAGCATCGTTCGGTTGGTTAATGATACAAATGGGACAATTCGATCAAGCAGACAAGTATTATTCATTATTAATAACACATTTAGAAAGTATTCCTATTCATGTAATGACAACCGAGTAAACACTGCCTGTATACTGATCGGTCTAATGCACGCTATTATTGGTCAAATATATTCTGAAACTGTTTTCTTAGCTAATTCGAATTCGAGTAGAAAACAATATTTGCAAATGTTTATCATTGAAACCGAAAATTTTAAGCACTAAAGTTACTTGAAAATCAAGAAAATTATAATGAAAGCTATTCATGTGAAACTTTCTAGTTTTTTTTAGTGCTCAATGGGTAGGATATTCTACCAACGATCCAAAAACTTTGTTTTTGTTATATACAAAAATGGAGACTTTTAAAACCGTTTAAACACTTCTGGAACATGTCTTATACACGAAAATCTTTTTTTTCAGAGTATACTACTAACTAGAATTAATATGGAATGAAGATAAATAAAGTTAATAAAGAAATATCTTTCAGTTTCTAAAAAAAAAACTTAGCCTGTGTGTCGAATAATACATGGACGCAAACCAAAAACTCGTGTTTGTGAGAAATTCATGAAATGAATTCTTTTCACCAAGAAAAAATCGGAAGTGCTAGATTTCTTTTTTATAGCATTTATGTTTCTAATACAGTCGTATTAATGTCTAGATGCGTAGACTTCTAGTTGTATAATTTCATTTAAGCATCTGATATTAAGCCACACAACTTTACAGTAATAGCAATTATTAATTGCTTTTTTTTTTTTTATTTCAGAATCTTTGTATTGGATACAACGAATCATTGTATGTTCCGTTATTAGTCCAATAAAGGATATTCTAATGAAGATTCTTTTGAACTTTTTAATTTTTGTTCATATATTTGTGAATAAGTGATAAGATTTTTCAACTAAGCGAATTTTAAAAAAAATATATATATATACTGTCTATCAAGACCTGTCAAAGGCTCTTATTTGAAAGATTGTTTCGTCAGGTAGACAAATATCTTTAGGTACTCTTTCATAGATGTTCACTAAGACTTCATGAATCAAAAATAGTTATTAGTTTTTGAATATAATAAAGACATGAACAGTGGTAATTTTGAAGTCATTTTTCAATACTATCCATTTCAAACAAAAGAGAACCTGCCGACCTTTGATTTGATTTTGTTTCTTTACAATGGTTTTTTTTTCCTGAATAAGCTCTTTTACTATGGATATATATAAAAATGTTGGCTCTTGTAGCTGCCGATTAATTAAAAATAATTAATTAATGAGCAAATAACTGTCTGATCATACAAGAGAAAATCCAAAAATTTTCTGTTAGACTATGGCGCAAGCTACATCTATGATATAACTCACGTTCCTAATAAAAAGTAAATCGATTTTTGTGGAAAACCTAAGCATAGCAAGGCTTTAAACTAACCTAAATGAGATTAAAGTCGATATCTTTTCTTATATCATGTTGCTAATACTAGGATTCTACTGATAACTTTTTTTTTTGAACAAAGATCTTTAGTGCTTATTTTTTTCAGAGTGTGTAGATTAGTTCAACATACACGTAAAATAGAAAAATTAGCTTTAGGAAAGTTCATTATTTCGATATGTCAGTGTTCTAATTTTACGAAGTGGTATCGCTAGCGAATGATTTTTCCAATATTTCGTAAGAACAGACAAAGCAAATGAGCAGAAAAGTTTCATTATATCGTAAAACGCATCGCTATCATATTATGATGTCACATCAACGATTGGGCGAACGCAAAAAAAAAGTGCTCGGCTTATTTACCAACATGTATTAATCATGAAAAAAACTTGTTTAATTATGTGAAAAAGAAATAACAAATGACTCTTCGTTCGCACGTGTGTCACTTCCTCCCTGAAACGAAACTAGTCTTCTATTAACCTCTCACAGTATATTCTGCGATAATAATATGAAAATTCCAAATGCAACAAAAGATTAGTAGCAAGCGTTGTCGAAGATTCTATGTTACAACGCTCTTCAGACTCTTTCTATTAACAACTGATGTACAACATCAAACTTGTCTTTTTTTCTCATTTTTGAAACAACGAATAGAAATAATTGAAGAGAAGTATTTTTGAAACCAAGGCAGTAGTGAAAAAGATGCTTCATCATGTAGCATAAATAAACTCTTATGTTCTCGGCAAGTATTTCTGATGATATGTTGTTCACGTATCATCTATCTTCTTCAATGAGTAATTGATAAATAGTGCGAATAATTGGCAAAATAGTTTCCTAGAATCTAATTTTACATGAATTCCTTGTAGTAAACATTTCGTTGAAATATCATTTTGTTTCATACGAATACTTAAGTTTTGAAAATTTTTTTTCGAAAGGAAGTAAATTTTCTTCTGTAGAATACTCACAAAATAACTGACTAATATTTTTCTAACATATGACTTTTGTTTATAAATTTTCAGTATTTCTTTATTTTTGAAGAATCAGTTGTCGATATTTTGATTTCGTCTTTGATAAAGATTACAAAGTAAACTTTAAAAAGAATGTTGTCTTTTTGTTTTTTCGATTGTCTGTCATCTATTAATCGGAACCGTTTTGATCCGATGCCATTGTGCGCAATTCACGAATCTTCTTCTGAATGTATGGACTTGCCATATGTTCAAATTTGCGTTGCCATTCATGATCGCGCCAAAAATCAAATCGAAGTTGACCTACACAATTATCGGCACTACACATGCATTGAGTACCTGCCATAAGACTGTTTTCAGTTTCGAAGATACCATAATGAATAGTCAATTCTTCTCCGACCTTAATATCACGTCGGGCTGTTATTATCCAACCATTACTCGGTCCTTCAACATCACAATTAGGCTCACACGAATGATTGAACAAAGCACATTCATCGGTCAGTTCTTGTGTAAGAGTACAGTATGGAAGAGCGAAGAAATCGTCTTCGATCATAACAGCATAGTTTCGAATATATTCAGATGCTTGTGGATACATTTCCATCAGTCCAACAAGTTTTTTTCGAGTAAATTTGAATCGTGGATTATCATCTGGATAATAACTGCATGTTGCAGGATCACACTCGTAAACTTTTTCACCTTGATAAATAAGTTCAAGTGTTACCATGCCACGCTGTTGGTCTCCGTATTTTTTAGAAAGATCACATATTGCTACTTTCTTAAACAACGGCATTCAAACAAAAGAATATCAACGATGTACACCACGCTGTGTAGTGACGATACTGAAGCGAGAGAAAGAAACGATTGATTACTGCAGGCTTTGATATGTGCATTTAAATATATGTCTAAACAACGTCCTTTTCACCAATGGTAAATAATGCATGAATTGCGTAACTTTATCTCTATTGACTCCAAGTGTAATTTCGAAATCATAATACACATTTTAAAAATTTTCCGACGCTTCTTAATGATTAGTCATTGGTATAGGATATATGATGACCGAGGTAATAGATGGGTTTCGTTATCTACTCTAATAAAACATCATGTGCATTCGTTTCGATTCAATGATTCATGTGTGTAATTCTAAAGTCACCGTAGTGATGCTTGAAATAGGAAATTACGGTTTCCTTCAAGAGAAATAATCAATGTCTAACATTAGAGCAATGAATCTATTTAATATCATAAAAGTCATGTTTCAGAATTTTCACCTCTCTCATCCAATCGCTACTGAGGTAATCATTTATATATTATTATATCCATTACATCGTTCATGAAATTGTTAATTCGAAGAAGTATCAGCCTCTAGTTTTTGTTTTTATTCTAATAGGAATTTCTATATTTCGTCGCTTTCAGTAGCACTATATCAAACATATTTTCATCATAATTTGCATTGATAGTATTGAAAAGAACAAATCTTACCATTGGTGCAACACTGAAATATTGCCAAAGTTTCAACAAGTCACAAAACTTATATTTGCACACTTGTTTCAATAATAGCGCGTGTAATTTCAATGAAGGAACTCAGTGGTGAGATAGAACATAAGAAGAAAATAATTTTTTTCTACATTCTCAAAAAAGAATTAATTTTTTCAATAACATTCACTTCCGACTTATATAATCACTTTGTTCTGATACTCAAGTCATAGAAATTGATAGATGGTACTGCGCCTTTTCTCTAGATAGATTTTAAGTAAAATAATCGGTCATTCTATACCTTTATCATCGAAAAAAGATACCTCAAGCAGTGTTTTTTCAACTCCATTTCATTACCGAAACAGAACTTTTCAAAAGTGAACGGATAAAGAACTTGGCAATGATTCTAATTCTCACCGATAATATTGTTCTCAAATGTTTTCGACAATGAGGTTCCTCAATAATAATTACTATAGACCATCACCATTTTTCAAACACTTGCCAACGATGAATGTAAACTTTTTTAGATAAATGGCAATGACTAAGAAATTTTGATTATTACATGTAGTCAAACGAGATTTGTGTAAAATTAACATTTGTTCAGTGTAGCTGAATACTTAGCACCGTATCAGATATGCCGAGTTATAGTACTTTGAAACAAGTACTTGAATCGTCGTTTTTTTTATCGTCTTCGTCTTGAAATGATTGTGTGAGCATTATGGAGTTCAGTTTAGTATGAACGCTGATCATTACAAATACTAATCATGTCTTGCACGATGTATGAAATGAACTTTCAGCTGATGTGGAATAGTGATGGCAAAGAATTTGTTGAGCTGATTGATTTAAAAAATAAATGCTAATCTATTCATCTGATATACAGAAGATTCTAATAAAGTGATAGGAACACTTCAACATGATTTAATCAATACGACTTCGAACATTCGTTGTCGGTTGGGTTGGAAAATGAGATCTGTTGTTGTTTCTTCTTTCATTGGCTTCTACTTGGATCACTGATTTTCTTATTACTAAAATCAGATTCATAAATGTTCTTCCAGTAAACACCTTTGAACAACATGCAAATGAATATTGTATTTTCTTTTGAGATTTAAAAGAAATGTATGTTCTAAACGAACAGCTGAGTAGTTTTCAAAATAGAATACACTATTTTTTTTCTTAGGGAACTTATATTTCTGTTAATTAAAACACATATCTCACCACTAATAATTAATATTTATTGATGTAG